GGGTGGGAGAAGAGGTCCTCAGATTACCTCACAGACATGCAGTGCAGAGCGGGAGGAGGAGAGTTCGCCCTCCAAAGCAGGGCGATATCGACAGCCCCACGCCCGTCGGGCAGGGCGGGGATGGCGTGCCATCTCTGGGCCCGTGCTGGGTAGGCCGGGCCTGTATCTGGCTTCCCACTGGTTGTGTAACCCCGAGTGACACTCACTGAGCAAGGCCACGGGACTCCGATCTCCTGGGGCTGAATCCGTTGGTGCGAGGGGCGGCTCTGTGCCCGTCCTCACTCCGCCCTGAACAATATCGATGGCTTTATTTGTGCACCCCTCCCTCCCTGCGACAAACCCTCGCTTCTCGCATGGCCGGTCCCCGTAACCTCCATGCTCTCCTTGTCCCTAGTATGGGAGAGAAACCGAGCAGCTGAATAAGCTAAGCAGAAACGACGGCCGACAGAACCTCTTCTCCTTTGACTCGGAAGTCCAGGTAATTTCTCCCACCCCCCTCCCGTTCAGAGCATTTTAGGGCTTGTGTGTTTGGAAAAGTCCACTTGGTGCCACCTGCTTCCTTCCTTGGCTGGCTGTGGTTCCCTGCAGCAACAGCGGGGCTTGTGGGCAGACGGCAGAACGGCTGGCTGTCCAGTCGCCTCAGCCCATAAGAAGGATGAGCGAAGCTGTGAGCAGGTGTGCGCCTGATGGGCCAGCCCCTCTGGTTCCTGGTGTCCCAGGAACGTGGCTGGAGAGGCCAGAAAGTGTCTTGCACAAAGGAAGCGTTCACGGCTGCTGGCACAGAGGCTGGTCCCCGTTCGAACGCCTGCTGGACAGCTGCAGAACGCCGAATGTGGTCCCCCCACTGCTCCTTTCCAAGGACTTCGCCTGGTTCCAGGAGAGCCCTGAATGTTCCGGTGTAGGCAGCTGCCCTGCTGTAGCTAGGCCGCTTTTCGAAGTGCCACGTCAGTAGGGCTCCGAATTGGTTCTTTACGAACGCCCACGTTTTGGCCTCGGAAAGGCGGCGAGAATCCCCCCTCTCTTCGCATTGCTGGGAACGCGTCCCTAGCGATGTCACGCCAAGCGCCGGGGTAATGCGGCTTGAGCTCAGCGTCGTGGGCATAGGAAGAACCAACTTACCCATTGCACGGCCATCATGGGAGGGTTTTCCAGGCAGCCTCCGGGTCTCCAAAGCGATTTGAAGTGGGGATGAGGGCAGGGAGCTCTCCAGGGGATGGCCCACGGATGGTGCGTCGATGGCTTTGGCATTCCTTCTCCCTTGCCGAGGCCAGTGCTGTGGAGGTGGCGGCCAGTCGACGACGACGTTTACACGGAATAAGCTGCGGGGCTCTAGAAAACGGAGCCGTTTATTTCCTGGGTTCTGATTGAACCCAGGAGAGTGACCATGCTGATTGAAGAAGGAAAAGGCAGGCGCCCGCGAGTCTCTTTCCCAGATAGGGATGGGAATGTTTAACTGCGTAACTAGTTCACCAGGAAGCCTCACTCGAAGGGGTGCAGCTTACCAGTTAAGGTTAACCAGTGGGGGCTGGCACAGCCCCCTGCCTGCCGTGGGCAGGGGGCTTCTCCAGCCCTGTGGGAGGCCCACCGCAGACAGGGGCAGCTCCAGTCATCCAGAGCAGCCCCAGTCCGCAGCGGGACCGGGCACCCCTCAGGCGGGCTGCTCTGACCAGGCTGGTGCAGCCCCTGCCTGTGGTGAGTGGCCCCCCTCTGCCCCCCCTTTTGTTAATGGGTTACCCAGTGGAATGGGATTTTCCATCTCTTGTGCCAAACCAAACTTCCCTCTGGGCCCATTTGTGGGCTGATGGCACCGGGGTCAGTATCTCCCTTGTGGGAGCCACGAGGTCTGTTTGTAAAACGGGCAGTTGGCAGCTCTCCCAACGCGAGTCCTGTGATTCAGAAGGGAGCATCCTTGAAAACCGCGTCTCCAGTCTCCCTGTGCCCCGAGCGGCTGGGCTGGAACGGAGCTCCCCGGGGACACAAAGGAGCCCGTTGAGTCTGGCTCCCAGCAGCCCCCCCGTGCTCTGCGGCTGGGGGCGCCTGCCACTGTGGGCACAGCTCGGTTTCGGGGCGTGTGTTTGCGCGCCTGTCCGGCTGATGGGATTGCGGCAGGAGGTCGGCGAGAGGGCAGCTTTCCTGTCGGCTCCAGAGCCATCAGAGCCTTGGAGACGATGGAGAGTTCTCCAGACCAGGTTGGCGATGGCCGCCTGTGTGCGCTTAGATAATTCACAGCGGGGAAAAGCCCTCCCCGGGCTATACCACTGGCCTCCTCAGTAAGGGGGGAAGGGATGTAGCAGCTACATCAGTGGTTTTCAAACGTTTTTCTCATGACCCATTTGAAGAAAATGGTTGATGCTGCCACCTCACACAATGTGACTGGAGTGTGGGTTCCAGGATGGGGCTGAGGATGCAGCTTTGGGCTGGGGGAGGGGGTTCCAGCCTGTGGGGGCAGGGCAGGGGTAGGAGGGGCTTACCTCGAGCGGCTCCCGGGCAGCGAGGGGGCTAAGGCAGCTACCTGCCCCCTCCCCTCCCAGAGCCAGGCCTGCTGCGACCGCTTCTGGTGCGCAGCACAGGCTATGGTGCCAGGACAGGCAGGAAACTGCCTTAGCCCCCCACCACTGCTCACCTAATCCCCCTGTAGCCACCAGACCCAGTGCCCGACATCCACTGCCCAGCACTGGGTTGTGAGCCCTAGTCTGAAAACGGCTGGTCTACATAACCCTTCAGCAGGCCCTTCTAGTGAGGTTGTGGGTAGAATCCTACGTCGGGGGCACCGGTGAGGTAGGGCTGGTGAAGGGAGCTGGAGGGGGTTGTTCCCTGGCTTTAGGGGTTTGGCTTAAGTTTGTCTTGTCTGTTTCTTCCCAGTGCGGTAGGCAAGGGCCAGCCATGCCTGACAGGTTATGGCAGAGGTGGCTGGATTCGAGGTGGTTTGGTTTTATTACAGCAAACCCAAATTAGTCAACCATCTTGATTGCTGATAACCACACTCTCCTTGTCGGCCGGGTTGCAAGCGGCTGCTGCCTCCGGCCACGGGACGATCTCTCCGACCGAGCGAAGCCTGCCCAATGGCAGAAACTCTTCCAGCATCCCCGCTGCACGTACGCTGGTTTCACCTCCCCACTGCCTGTGTCCGGGCCTGTGGGTGGATCCTGCAGGCTGCAAATGAAAGGCTGAGAGCGGAACTGCAATCTTGGGGAGGTTTAGTGCTCAGTGCTGATTTTTACCTGTCTGGTTTAAACAGCACCGGGTTCTGAATTCCTGTGCGTAATGCGTGTGCATAACGGGCACCCAGTGGGCTCCCCTTGTATGCAAGTGCTGCATTTTTTGTCCCATTTTTTGATGCCAGGAGATGGAGTGCGATCCCTTGCATTGGTGTGTGTGACGTCCTGTGTTAAAGAGCGTGTCATTTGTTTTCCAGAGGCTGGATTTCTCTGGAATTGAGCCAGACGTGAAGCCCTTCGAGGAGAAATGCAGCAGGCGCTTTTTGGTGAATTGTCACGATTTAACCTTCAACCTCCTGGCTCATACCTGTGACCGATCCGAGGGCTCCCCCACAAACGTATGCATTTTCACTGGGCACGCGCATTGCGTCTGCGGAAACGGTGCTTAGACGTAGACTGTTACCAGCCCATGTTGCCTGATCACCAACAGAAACCTACCGGGGAAAAGAAATAAGGCCCCAATCTGTGCTCCCTCTAATTTTGCGCCTATGTGCAAAATAAATTTTGTTCTGTGCACCAAGGCATGTGCAGATGTGCACCACCAGTAGAAAAACAGCCTGCCAGCTGAAATGTTGCAATACTCAAATGCTGCCCAGCTAATTAGCAAAGCGTCCACAGTGGTGTGGGCTCTTTGCCAATCAGCTGGGTAGCATTTGAATCTCTCCTGAGTGGCCGCCCAAGTGCTCAGCGTTTAGGGAACACTGGCCCCGGCCCTGCTTCTAGTGACCTGTGGACAGACACGGGTGACTGGCACAGAGCTCATTGCAGGCCCGGGGCCTCAATTTGCATCCATCCTTCACAGTGTTTCACCAACGCGAGAGGCATGGAAGCACGTCTCTGTCATAGAATCCTTGGGCCTGATGCACCTGGGGCCAGTGGGGATTTCATATTTGAGGCGGCAGAGTCAGGGCTGGAGACAGCAGATTTGTCCCTCACTGGGCCGTTGAGGGTGGGTTTACAGGCTGCCTGCTGCTGCCCTGCCTTCGCAGCTACCTTTGCCTTTTACCATCGTTCCCAACCAAAAACATGTACGTGGAATTGTTGCGATGTGGCAAGGCGGGTAGCTGCAAAGCCTTCCCAGAAGTCTGAGGTAGCCACCTTCTGGGGGAACTCGTGTCACACGGTTCACGTGCAAGGCGCAACAGGCTAGTAACAGGTGGCTAGTTTATGCTGGGAGATTTCTGTGCGGGACTCTGCCTGATGCGACCCAGAAATACGTAGTCTCTGGCGAGAATGCAGCTGACGTCCAACTCAGAACTGAGTTCTTTGGGACTTGGTGAGATGTGAGGTAACTTGCTAACAATCTGCATGCGTAGGCTACGTGTAGACTACAGGTCTTCCGGCAGGGTGAGGTCTCCCATGCAGCTGCTCTAGGCCAGCAGGGGAGAGCTCCCTGCTGGCGTTAGTTACCGCTGCTCACAGGCAAAGGTTTATTATGTTGGTGAGAGAGTATCTCCCGCTAGGACTGGACTGTCCACACTAGTGTTCCCTCTAAGCTGGGGGGGCAGCCCAGCTTCACAGGTGATTAATCAGCCCCGCCCAGTCAGTCACCCATGAAATTGCTGCAGAGCAGTTTAGAGGGAACACTGGTCCACACAAATGTTCCCCCTAATTTTTTGCATCCATGTGTGGAATACATTTTGTAACATGCCCCAAGGAATGTGCAGATGTGCACCACCTGTAAAAACACATGGTGCTGGCTGAACTCTCTGCTAATCAGCTGGGTGGCATTTGAAATTCTCTTGAATTTCTCTTGCTCAGCATACAGGGAACACTGGTCCACACCAGCATTTCTGTTGCAGACACTTAGGTTCTTTACACACCCCCGACAAACAAAAATGCTAGTGTAGACACAGCTGTGTGCTGAGCTTGCGTCCTTTCTCACCCTACCAGACAAACCGCTCCTGCTGACTAATCAGCATCTTCATCTGTCCCTGACCGTTGTGTTCCGCCACGTGTAGAAACAACCCGTTTCTCTTCCTTCTGTGTGATAGGGCTGTGATTTTCAAGTGGCACTACTCATCTTTGCTGGGCCATCTTGCGTTTTTATTGAGTGAAGTGGTCTCTGTGGATAGCTAAAAGCAAATCAATGATTGCTTCTGTACTTTCTCGGTGAAATTCAGCCTGCGTAGCTGGGCTCTGTAGCTCCTCAGTGGTGCATGGTCCTTGTGAAAGGGTGAATTTCATCATAAGCACTGACCCGCAACTCAAAGAAGCAGAGGTCACGCTCGAGTGTCTGGCAGTGAATTCCAAGTACACCTAGACGTTAGCCCCCGGACCATGATGTTTTAACAAGAGCATTATTTCCAATTCCCAGGTTGAGCCGTTTTTCGTCAGCCTGGCATTGTTTGACCTAAAAAACAACTGCAAGATTTCAGCTGATTTCCACGTGGACTTGAATCCTCCCGGACAGCCCCAGCCAAGCCGCCGGGGACAGTCAGACCAAGGGGGCGTCGCCCAGCGAGCACCTGGTTCCCAGGGTTGCTGAATCTCGCCTGCGCTACGTAAAGCAGGTGAGGCCCTGCCGGGGGCTTTCTTACCTAGTGGTCACTGTCCATGCAAGGAAGAAGTGGCGAGGGTTTGGCAGCACCTCAGAAAACGTTGAGCACGTGAGCGATTGATTGTGGCATCCGGGGACACCTTAGTCCTGGGCCGGGGCCCAGCTGTGCTGTGCGCTGCTGGGCGGACACAGCACAGGAAGATGGTCCCACGCACGCAGCCCTCGCTCGCCTGTGGCCTGAATGTTCACCAACAAAACTTGCAAACACAATGGGCTGGCGCTTTCCCTTGGAGTTAACCAAAAGTGTCCTCAGCTCTGCCTGAAATGGGATTCACGGAGGAGCCAGTGGAGGCAACTGGGAGAAGGGAATCTCCTTGCCGGGTGGGGGGGGGGTCTTGGACACTCCCAGCTCATCGCTTTAAGCCAGGGGCGGGGAACCTATGGCCCAGGGGCTGGATGCGGCCCTCGGCTTGCCTGGATCTAGCCCCGAGCTCCAGCCCCTCTGCTGTCCCTCCATGGGGCTGGAGCACACAGAATTGACTAGCCTGGACCCCTCCTTTTTCCTTCTGTCGGGGGCCACATGAGTGAAGGTGGGTTTTTTGGAGGGGTGGGGGGGTGGCTTCTCCCTTATGTGCAGCCCCCAATTGATTTTTCCGTGGGTCAGCAACCCCCAATCCATAAAAAGGTCCCTCCCCCTGGTTTAAGCATACGCGGTAGCTTTACTTTGAGTGGGAGGCAGGTTTTGTTCCCAAACCCCTTCCGCCCAGCTCTGCGTTCTGCCGTGAACCCAAACGTCCTGGGCTCGTAGAGCGAGCTGATCAGCCATTTCACCCTCCACGCCCCGCGGCTGGTGCCGCGCCCCGAGAAGTACTGAGGGAGGGCTGGCCCTGTCCAGTTGCCTCTCTCAGGTGTGGCCTCACTCAGACCAGGAAAACCAGATGGAACCTGGCGCATGGCCCCGGAGCCATGTCAATAGGTGGCATGAGCCAGGAGCCCATGTGGTACCAACATGGTGAACTAGCAGCATGGGTGGCGAGGCGGGTGAGGGCCCAGCTAGGGAAGACCAGCCCCATCCCCACCCCTTCTGCCTGAGGCCCCGCCCCTGGAACCAAGCCCCACCCACTCCCAGCCCGATCCTTCCTGGGCACCTGGAGGGCTGGGAGCACTGTGGGGCTGGGGAAGCCGGGCTGCCATGTGGTGGCCCCAGCCTTCCTGGTGGCCGGGGTGTGTAGGCAGTGTTGGGGAGGCTGAGCCTCCCCTTGCCTGCATTACCAGCCGCCCATGACTAGCAGGCTCCCTTCTGATTGGAGCTGGAGGAACGCGTAGCCGGGGGAACGGTTGTGGCCTCTGACTCGGTGCTGTTCATTGACTTCCAGGGAGTTTTCTCCGTGGCGAACCCCCACGTGGAGATCTTTCTTGTGGCCCGTGTGGAGAAGGTGCTGCAGGGCAGCATCACGCACTGCGCGGACCCGTACATCAAGAACTCAGACCCGGGGAAGGTAATCGATAACGCTGTGCACGGAGTGGTCTCCTAAAAAGCACTGCAAAACCACTCCTCTGGTAACCTGGAGCTGGCCCGGCTCCGTTGGCTCAGGAGCATCTTACAAGCAGGAAAATACAGAGGGAGTGTTCTTTCTTGCCCTGTTTGGCAAACCGTGGGCTTTCCCTGATCAGTTTAGATGGCCGCTGCTCTTGGTGTTTCTGGCCTAGTGGTGGGCACTGGGATCCCGGCTGATGTCAGCTCAGCTCTCAGAACAGAGCGTGGTCCTTGTTTCCCCAGCACATTAGAACTGTGCCGGGCCTGAGGCTGGATGTGGAGCTGTTATGCACAACAGAGATGCAGCCCTGCATGCAACCCGCTGCCTCGGGTTGTCTTTGGGTTTGGGCCTGCAGGTGGGAAGAGCGATTGTTTAATGCAGATGGCTCCTGCCCCGCAGTTTGCAGGGTTCAGAACCATGCAGAATACAGCCTCCCTGATAGCCACGCCCACCCTAAGCAGAGCTCCACCCCCTTGTGTTCAGCTGGGGTGCACAATGAGCATGGTGGCCCATGGATTCAAAAGGCAGCAGGGCTTGGGGGCCCTCTAGTGGCAGGCGGGCGGAGGCGGGTGGGTGGGCGAGGGGGG